CACTCTTATCGTCAAATAGTGGTGGAATATAGAATGTATAGATAGATTGATGCAATCGTACTCATTATTTGCGCTTAGGCATCTCACATATAGATTGGATGGCTCAACAAAGAAACGATTTTAGAAACTAAAAGTTTTGGTAATTTTATAATTTATCTGAAGTTACATATTGACAGAGTCAATCACTTGTAAGTTCTATTCAAACTATTATATAATTCTATTGTTTGTATTTTTCATGCATCATATCAGAATTCATTCGCACATTCTATTCAGACTATCATATATTTTTATTTTTTTCTTTATGCTCCATCAAATAAAAGTCATTTATGCGTGCGATTCATATTACGACATATTTGTTCTTTCATTTGAAATCCACCACATGCAAATTCATTGTAAATTCTCCTCAGACTATTGTATATTTGGATTTCTTTTTCTATTTACGATCAACGAAATGACAATACATCTATAAGTTCGTTCCATATAATTCTATATTCTATTTATTATTATTTTTTAGTTCGGATGAACAAAATGACAATTCATCGGCAAGTTTGTTTCAAATTATTGTATATTCTGTTTCTCTTTTTCTTTATAGTTTGGATGAACAAGATGACAATCCATTAGTGAGTTCATTTTAAATTATTCTATATTCTATTTCTTTTTTTTTTCGGGAACCATCCAATTCAACATCCATCAGTAAGTCTTTTTTTAATGATTATATAGAATTACTTTTATTTAGGTTAAACGAAATGGCAATCGATCGATGAATTCTATGGAAAGTATGTCCTACTGCTATATGTGCATTTATGATGAGTGAGAGGAAAGCTCATATACGAATGCTGTTGAAGTTATTCTTGAGTTTATTTTTTAGATTTAGTTTTAACTCAAGGTGAAATTTGTTTTAAGCAGTGTCAATTTTAGTCGTATATTTAATTTTTTTTAAGGTTGTGATTGAAAAATGTTGGGATGGAAAACGATATTAGACGTAGTGGGAGAAAGTGATCGGCTGGTGAATGTCTCATTGTATGACGCTTCAGTGTAGTGTTTTTCGGGTCGTTTTGTAGACTGGAAATGGTTTTATTGGTTGGAATATTTTTTTGTTCTCGCGTCACTCGGCATAGATAGCTGTGTCCGCAATGTGTGAACCTCGAAAACCTACTGTGAGTTTTCGTTCTCTAGTTTTAGGAACCTCGGAAACCTTTAATAGGTTTCCGGAAGTAATCTATAGTATTTTATTATGGTTGGTTTCGGATAAGTTTCCGAACCATAGGAAATCTATTCTCGGAAACTCTTTTAGGGTTTTCCCGGATACCTTTTTTTTTAGAGTGTACTCCAACTAAACAAGAAGAAATGTATAAGATAATACAAGAATTATTGCATTTTGGATTAATCCGTCCATCTGATTCTTCATTTGCAGCACCAGCATTACTGGTAGCTAAGCACGATGGTACATGGAGAATGGTAGTAGATTATAAAAAATTAAATAATATTACTATTAAGGATAATCATCCATTACCCAATATGGAGCAAGCAATACAATTATTAGGTGGTAGTTATAAATTTTTTTCCAAACTTGATATGAAGAGTGGATTTTGGCAAATTCCAATTAAAGAAGCAGGCAAATTTAAAACTACATTTATTACTCCAGATGGTCTTTTCGAATGGAATGTACTGGCTTAAGGTGTCAAGAATAGCCCACCATCTTTTCAACGAGTAATGACTGATATATTATCTACACGTCGGCAATTCTCGTTGGTTTATATTGATGATATCGTAGTGTATTCTCGTTCATTTGAAGAACATCGCAATCATATTACATAAGTATTATCTGCTTTATCCGAACATAACTTTCAAGCTAACTCGGTCAAATGTAGTATTTTTCATCAACAAATCGATTATTTATCTCATACGATATCTAAACATGGTGTTAAGCCAACCAATCAAAAAAAAATTCAAGCAATTATTAAATTACGACAACCTATTAAATTAGCTGAAGCAAATAAATTTCTTGGTGCTCTTTCGTGGTATCGTAAATTCATACCCAAATTTGCAACAATTGCTGCACCTATTCATGCTGTAACAAACTTAACAAAAACAAATAGACACAAATTCGAATAGGATGCTTCTCAATCTCAAGCGATTTCACAATTGAAACAATTATTAATTACTTCTCCATTATTTCTTGATTTTCCAGATGATAATTATCCTGTTATACTAACAACGGATGCATCAGAAGTTAGTATTGGTGGTACATTACAACAAAATATTAATGATGAAATAAAAAATTTATATTGTCATTCTCAGGTTACATCTTCTACTCAACGACGATATGATCCTATTGAATTAGAAGTGTTACCCATATGGTTATGTTTTCAACGAATGCGATCTTATCTACTTGATAGATCTATTATAATTTATACTGATCATTGTCCTTTGTGCAAAATGATGAACTCATCGGTGAAAAATCGATGAGTCGATTGAATTTCTATTTTATTGCAAGAATATAATATCGAAAAAATTATTCATATTAAAGGTCAACATAATTGTTTAGCTGATTATTTATCTCGTCATCCAATACAAAATGATGAAGAAACATTTGATGAGGAT